TGTATATGTAGACGCCAGCTACTGAGTTGAGTGCATGGTACGACACTGTGAGCTGCGGATTTCATAGAAAAGGCTTTCGACTGCGACCAGTGGGATTTTTGTGTGTGAACTGTAGATTCAGAACTATTGCCACAGATCTGGTGCTGCCTTATGTGATTCATTGCATGTGCAGCTACTGATCTGTTGTAATTGCAGCTTCCATCGAGTATGAACTGCACTGCTAGTGTGTGACTATTTGTGTTAGCACTTCTGATAGCTGTTTAGCATTGAATGCATGTATATATGATTGAATTTACTGGTAATGCAGTTTGTATCAGTTTTCCCACAAGGGGTAGTGATGGACATTCTGTGGGGATTTCATTGGCATAGGAATAAACTATGGGGTCAACCTGTTTGCTGTGAAGTTGGAACTTTGATTGCATGGTTACCTTGCCATGCCTTGAAAGTCAGCTGTAAAATAAGCATCTGGTGAGGCAGGGGTTGACCAGTGCAGAGGTTGACACAATAATTTTAACAGACTCTGAAAACACCTGAGAAAGGTAAAGACAGCGATGTTTCAAGGAGAGTGGCCAGCTTCATTGGGAAGTTCACGGTTAGTGAGCATACTTTGGATCTTTTTTCCAGGCGATGTCGGCATCGTGGGTAATGAACTGGCAGACAGATTTGCTGGATCTGCACCGCTGGGTGGTGAATTGATACATGACAAGGCAGATGTGGTCAAGGCCCTTTGGGAACAAGCAACGGAATCAGTAGAGAAACAAGATTATTATGGTCTGGAGAGACTGAGGTCCTAGGTATAACCAGAAGGTCGGGCGACTCATTACACTTAGAGGAAAGGCGAGACGAACATATAACCAGATTGTGACCGGTACCATCAGTATTGGAACTCTGCGCTGGCTGCTGAAGATGAGGACAGAGCACACAGGGAATGCCCCGATTGCTGTGATGTCAATTCTTGACTCAACTCAACTCACAAGCTGACACAGGATATTAGAAGCACCTCAGATGTAAAAATATGTCAGGTAGGAAATTTAGAAAGGAACAGGGTAAGGGTACAGACGCAAAGAAGGCAAATTAGGTCAAATGACTTGAGACTTAATAGCAAATAGATATAACGATTAGTCTAAAATAATACATAATGTATCAACAGATACTTGAAAATAGAACTTTTAAGTGACCTAGGGTCCAGACTGAAAGTCATGTTTAGGATTGCCCAGACAACATCGGTCCTTGCCAAACAGCAAATGTTACGGAGGTCTAACAAACATTTTGTGTAAAACTAAGCTACAATTGCTCAGAGCACTAGTTTTTTTAGTATGTTACATATGGCTGTGAAACGCAGACCTTAAAAGCTGAACCCTAAGAAAGATACAAGCATTGGAAATTAGATCTTTAAGAAAAATTCTTGGCATTCCACACAGAGACGACATCACAAATGACGATGTTCGCTGTGTAATAATTAGCAGCGCATTGGCAACTAGGTACCTCTTGTAACTACAGTGAAAAGCTGGAAAATGCAATGGTATGGACATATAATCAGATCTTATGATATGAGGAACAATACAGCTATGCTCAGTAGAGGTGAAGAGGAGAAGAGGTAGACCAAGAAAAACCTGGATACAGAACTTGAGGTTTGAGGATTGAACAACGAATCAACATCATGGCACACAGATAGTAATCTATTAGTGCTCCGTTCTACTTCTAACTCGTCTGAGTCCGAAGTAGCTTAGTGCAGTGCACGCGCTATGTAGCACCAACAAGGATCCTGAAATATTTTGGGTAGATTTTTAACTATATTTGGCCTGGGCAGTGCCGTTAGGCTACTCTTTCTGATTTCCAACTGCTAAGGGAATTTTGACTTGCACAACAATACACATGGGCGATCAGTCTTACTACCCAGAGACCAAGGAAAATTACTAGAAGGCCATGTAAAAAAATTCCAGATTTCACCGGGGTCTGAACCCGGGACTTCTAGCACTTGAGGCAGACACCATGCCTCAAGACCATGCAGCCCCCCATACAGAACTTGACTGGCCAAACAGGCCTTAGTCATGCAACCATGATGTCCATTCATCTGACCGTCAAAGGTGGAAGGAGCCAATCAGGCCGTCAACAGCAACTGGTGGCTCACCGATACACAGTGTTACAGGCTGCTGATATGGGAGCCTTAACTCTTTAAGTCCCAGGGGGTTCAGCATCAGAGGCCCAAGAGGTAGACAAGAACGACGTAAATCGGCGCATCTTGCGTTCATGGGGCCTCTAGGTAGGAACAGATGAACGTATGATGTGTTCCTTGGGACTCAAAGAGTTAAGCCTCTTAAACATTTTCTATGGATGTTCAAAACAGCAGCTGAAGCATTATCCTGGTTTGAGATTAAGACCTTCACCTAAGCATGCTTTCTCAGTCACTCAGTGTGTATGTTCAGAAATGTAGTATTTTCTGTCAGAATGTTTCAAATATTTTGTCTTTTCTGTCAGAACATTCGGAATATATATATATATATTTTTTGTTTTTTGTGTGTGCAGAAATAGCACTCAGCTCTGTAGTCTTTTGTATCAGATAAAATATTTGAAATGTCCAGGGTTCTGTTTCAGACAGAATGTATGAAATATGTTGTCTTTTGTACCAGATAGATCCTTCTAATCTGTAGTCTTTTCATGTGTATAGTCTTTTCTGTCAGATAAAACACTTTAAATATATAGTTATTTGTGTTAATAAAATATTTAAAATATGTAATCCTTTTTTAAGATAGAACCTTTAAACTGTGCAGTCTTCTTTATGAGGTAGATCATTTCAAATGTGATGTCTTTTGTGTCTCAGATACATTTCAGATATTCAGCATTTTGTATTAAATATAACACTACACTTCAAAAATATAGTCTTTTGTAGCAGGAAAAAATATTGCAGATAGGCAGTCTTTCGTGGCAGAAAAAAATACTTCAGATCTATAGTCTTTTTTTTTAATAACATATAGAAGATTTACAATATGTAGTCTTTTGTAACATATGGGGTAGAACATTTAAGATGTATAGTCTTTTGTAACATATTAAACGTTTAAGATATATAGTCTTTTTTGACATATTGAACATTTAAAATGTGTGTATAGTCTTTTATGTTAGATATACATTTTAGGAACCACGTTAGCACAGTCAATAGGAGACTTGCTTTCAAATCGAGCTGCCACTCGCTGCAGTCCAAGGCTGGTGTTTGAAACAGGACAGTTCATGGGGTTCAGCCAGCCTCTAGTTAATCGGTACCAGAGTTAACACTCTGGGGTAAATGGAGGAACATCGCTGTAGCTACAGACTTGCGTGCGGACGGCAAAACAGGAGGACAGTTTCTTATCAGCTGTCCGTACTGGTGGCAGAGCACTTATGGTTTATAACTGTGTGCAGTGATACTGGTTCACATCTCTCGACTGTACTTTAAATTTAGGTTTAACATTTTAAATGTATGATTTTTTTGGTATAAGAAATACGCTTACAGTACAATTATCTATTGTTTTCAGACAGAACACAGGAGCTGCTGTTTGCTGGAATGAAGGAGATGCGGGACAGACATCTACCTCTCGATGTCAATGAGAATTGTCTGCCCCGTATCGAAGTCGACAAAGCCGAGAAACTGGACCGGAAGCAGATGCATTTAAACAAAAGTTGCCAGTTAGTAGATTCACCAGCTCTAATGGACATGGATACAGACTCTAACAGTTGCCAGGACTCCATGTTGCAGCACCCACTGACCCATAACTTGGAGACCAGTATAACTGATGCTGTTGGAGCACATGCTCCTGAAAGCTGCAGCTTGGTCTTACCATCCTTTGGGAAAAGCTTTGTTAGAAGTCCTGCTGAATATAGTCCTATGTGCGTTCATTCACCAGTTTCGTCATCATCATCATCATCACCATTATGCCTGGGGCCTGTACGTGGTGCTTCAGCTTTGAGTACAAGTAATGCTTTTTCCTTCATGAAACAGGCAAATTTACAGAAGGATCCAGTTATAGAAGCCAGTGTGATACATAATGGTGAGTCATGGTTTTACTGTTAACTCTTTCTTCTTCTTTTTTGTTTCATTCACCAGCTGTGAGCTCCAGCAGAAAGTTCTCGTTGTTTGTCCATTTGGACTTTGGCTTTTATCCAGGGCCAGAGTTTTTGTATGTTCATCCATTTTACGAGATGAATGGTCGTAGACCACGAGGCAGACCAAGAAGACGATGGAGAGATAATGTCCAGACAGACCTGCAAACACTTGGTGCCACCAAAGAAAAGGCCAACCAGAGAGATGAATGGAGGCGGGTGATATCTGGAGCAGTGAACCTCAAGGGCTTAAAATGCTGAAGAAAATCAATTTTACTGGCTTATTTGTCTGCAGTTCGTTGTTTCTTCTTGCTCAGGCAGATGCACTCCAACTTCGAAGGAAACTCCCAATTAGTCGACTTCTACGACCTGTTTGTTGGAGGGGGGGGGGGCAGTGGGTCTGTTCTTGCTTTTTTCCCCCCACAGTGGGACCCTGAAACCCACACGAAGAAACTCTTTCACTACCAGGAGGTTTCACAGGAGATTACCAAAGGCACCAGTAATTATTATGAAAAGTAATGTGCTTTAAGAAAACTAAACAGTAATAATAATGAAAAATTATGTGCCTTAAGGAAACTAAAGGCTGGAGGAGCCAGATTTCTGTAGTCTGCTATGGCCAAATATAAAAGAAAATATACGAGAACACGTTATGTGTTGGGCGGGTTTAATAGAAGAATTCATCTAGATCACAGACTGCTTGGTACTGAAAGAGTTAATGAACTTTGGTGAAATTTTTATTTTTGGTAATGTTAGACTTTGTGTGTGTGTGACATCCATTAATTTTCTTTATCTTTTCCTTCTTTTCCATCTTCTGTCCTCTTCACTCTTCCATCCCATCCATCCTTCTTTTTCCCTTCTGCCTCCTTTCCCTCCATTTCTTTCTTTCTTTCTTTCTTTCTTTCTTTCTTTCTTTCTTTCTTTCTTTCTTTCTTTCTTTCTTTCTTTCTTTCTTTCTTTCTTTCTTTCTTCTTTCTTTCTTTCTTTCTTTATCTTACTTGTTTCTTTCTTTCTTTCTTTCTTGCTTTCTTTCTTTCTTCTTTCTAACTTTCTTTCTTTCTAACTTTCTTTCTTTCTTTCTTTCTTTCTTTCTTTCTTTCTTTCTTTCTTTCTTTCTTTCTTTCTTTCTTTCTTTCTTTCTTTCTTTCTTTCTGTCTTTCTTTTTTTCCCTCCTTTCTTTCTTTCTTTCTGTAGTATTCTGATAATCTTTCTATATGTGTTACAATATGATGCAATTTTTCTTTTCTTATCATATTGCCAAAAATACTGAACTCCTCTTTTTTATGTTTGTGATAAGTTATCTTTGTCAAAACATTTAGATTACCCATGTTGCTGTTCAAGGCTTTTCTGACATTTTATGGAGCCACTTCTCTGTGGCTCCACTGGACATTATTTTCCATTTATTAACTGTTCAGGATTGGCAGCTATGTTTTAAAATTAGTCCTACATAATGTGCAAGAATTAGATTCTAATTGCCAAGTACAAGGACATATTGCATGAATGGATCCTTATTTTATAAATGATACAACATTCTCTCCCAGCTCTTCAACAACAGCCAGCAATCCAGCCAATCTACAAACCAGATAACAAAATTGAAAAGCCACTCAGCCAACTGACAAACAAAATAACTTGATAAAAAAAACCAACCAACCTACCAGCAAACCAGCCGGCCAGTCAACCAACCAACCAACCAACCAACAAACCAAATAACACAACCAGAAAGTCACTCATTTTATCAACAATCCAACCAACAAAGTAGTCAGTAACCCAACCTACCAATAGACCTCCAGCCACCCAACAGACATCCAACCACACAGCAGACATCCATCCACCCAACAGACATCAAGTCACCAAACAGACATCCACCCACCCAACAGACATCCAGCCACCCAACAGACATCCAATCACTTAACAAACATCCAGCCACCCAACAGACCTCCAGCCACCAAATAGACCTCCAACCATCCAGCAGACATCCAATCACTCAACAAACATCCAGCCACCCAACAGACCTCCAGCCACCAAGCAGACCTCCAGAAAACAAACAGACCTTCAGCCACCAAATAGACCTCCAACCACCCAACAGACATCCAGCCACCCAACAGACATCCAGCCACCCAACAGACATCCAGCCACCCAACAGACATCTAATCACTTAACAAACATCCAGCCACCCAACAGATCTCCATCCACCAAATAGACCTCCAACCACCCAACAGACCTCCAGCCACCAAATAGACCTCCAACCACCCAACAGACATCCAGCCACCCAACAGACATCCAGCCACCCAACAGACATCTAGCCACCCAGTGGACATCCAGCCACCCAATGGACATCCAGCCACCCAACATACATCCAGCCATCCAACAGACATCCAACCACCCAACAGACATCCAGCCACCCAACATACATCCAGCCATCCAACATACATCCAGTCACTCAACAGACATCCAGTCACTCAACAGACATCTAACCACCCAACAGACATCCAGTCACTCAACAGACATCTAACCACCCAACAGACATCCAACCACCCAACAGACATCCAGTCACTCAACAGACATCCAGCCACCCAACAGACATCCAGTCACTCAACAGACATCCAGCCACCCAACAGACATCCAATCACTCAACAGACATCAAGCCACCCAACAGACCAACCAACACTTCTTTGCAGTAAATGAATAGTACAAAAAACAAAGTCTCTCTTGTCAAATTAGAAAGTAGGAGATGAAAGCACTAGACCCACTACCTCTCAGCCCTTCTATCTACTTTAATGCAAACATGTTATTGTTTGCCTCATTGCATCATTTTATCACTTAATGCTATTTTATCACTTTATGCTATTTTATCACTTAACACTAACATTTTATCATGTTGTTTCAGCATGCCCTAACTGCAGGCAGTCTGTCAAAGCCCAGGATGTTGCCAGGTGCCAGTTTTGCGAGAAGAGCGTCTGCTGTGCCTGTTTACGGCAGTGTGCTGGTTGCCTTCTATGTTTCTGTCAGTTGTGTTCGGTGGTGAAGTAAGTACAGGTCATCAGATATTCATTTCAGTCTAATGAGTTACTGTTTTAGGTTGTCGAGGTGCTGAACCACATATGGTTGTGTAACCGGAACAAGACTCACACAACGAAAGCCCATCTAAAGATGACAGGTTAAATTTGAGAGTATCATAGCACCGGATTTTATCCCATATAGCTTGGTTTCTCTCTCTGCAGAATGGCTAGCCGCCGCATTGTGCACGAACTCCGCAACTCCGGCAACAATCCCCAGGGATCTACGTGAAAATTGTGCTCGAGAACTGAGTGGCACAAGCTGTGAAACAAACCTACGACCTGCAGAGCATGAGGCAGGCGCCTTGACCATTTCGCAACGAAGACCACTTAAAATCCACCTACATCTCTCTGTGTTCATCCTACAAACAGGCTGCCAACTGGAGGCCTGGCCATCAAAGATAGGATCGCTGTTTCCTTTGAAGTTGGAGTGCATTTGATTCAGAGACAAGGAACCAACAGTCTGCACACAAATAAGCCAGATCTATCAGACTGCTATGTACTCAGCACTAGAGTCCTGGTACAAGGCTAGCCACCAGAAGTGGACATATAACCAGGACTTTCTGCCAGAGTTAATAGCCAGTGAATGTTAAGAAGAAGAAGAAGACTGGTTAAGTTTATTCAACACCCTCCCCGTGTAGGTTCCGGAGCCCTGTTGTGGGAGGAAGAATAATAAACTTATGCGTTGTTGTTAGGGATGTCAAGAGGGTCAGTCAAGCACATGACATTACACTGCAGATAAACAAGTAAAATTTTAATATAAATTTAAAAAGGCTTTCCCCCCTTTTGACATGCAAAAAAATATGAAACAGGGTCCCCTATTATCCATTGTTTTATCGGGTTTAAGAGGTAAAAACCCGGAGAAAAATTTATTTGGGGAATGAAGGGCTAGTATGGTGATGCATTTCCTTTCGTTTTAGCCCAAATGTAAAGAGTGGAAGGTATAAGCAAAGAATTTTCAAAAAAAAGGGAGTACAAGGGGAAAAAAAATAGTTACAAAAAAAAAAAGGACCAAGGGGAAAAAGGAAAAAAGAAAATTTTTACAAGAAGTTTTAAAAAAGCTGGGCTGAACACCGGATAGAAACAAGCAGAGGGCAGAAGGAGGTATGAATGTGAGTTGAGTGACGTTTTAATGGTACACAAAGGATGATGTGATAATAATTGAAAAGGACCCTTTTCCCCACCCTTTTGGTGTATATGGGCAAAATTTGGGGTTTAAACCCAATTTTATAGACCAACCGGCCAAAAGATGGTGAGTGGTCAAATCCACCTTTTCTTCCCAGGACTGCACCTGGGACCCACCAAGGGTGGGTCCAAACCCGGGAGCCCAAAGGGGATTTCTGAAAAAGAGGGCCCCCCTAGGGAGCGAAATCAAGGGGCCTTCAGTCCCGAGGCGAGGGGCCCAGGGGCTACGCCCCGGGCGACTCTCGATAACGATGATGGGAAACAATAGCAAGCGCATAAAGGGGTTTTTTTGTCCCTTTGATCAGAAGGACAGGTTTGAACCTTTTGATGACAGGGGAAAAAACAACCCATGGAGAGGGAAAACCAGGGGAGGGCAAACCAGGGAAGGGGGCGACAGGCCCCGGGGACACAATGCTTGTCATTGAAATGATGGTAATGGGAAAATAAAAAAATATAAACCAACCCCCGACCCCTTTGGGTGGAGGTGTATTGATGGAAGCACTAGCACATAAAAACGCCACTTTTTTTTTTTATGCCTTTAAGGGNTGATTTTTTTGGTATAAGAAAATACGCTTACAGTACAATTATCTATTGTTTTCAGACAGAACACAGGAGCTGCTGTTTGCTGGAATGAAGGAGATGCGGGACAGACATCTACCTCTCGATGTCAATGAGAATTGTCTGCCCCGTATCGAAGTCGACAAAGCTGAGAAACTGGACCGGAAGCAGATGCATTTAAACAAAAGTTGCCAGTTAGTAGAATCACCAGCTCTAATGGACATGGATACAGACTCTAACAGTTGCCAGGACTCTATGTTGCAGCACCCACTGACCCATAACTTGGACACCCGTCCCAGTGTAACTGATGCTGTTGGAGCACATGCTCCTGATAGCTGCAGCTTGGTCTTACCATCCTTTGGGAAAAGCTTTGTTAGAATTCCTGCTGAATATAGTCCTATGTGCGTTCATTCACCAGTTTCATCGTCATCATCATCATCACCATTATGCATGGGGCCTGTACGTGGTGCTTCAGCTTTGAGTACAAGTAATGCTTTTTCCTACATGAAACAGGCAAAGTTACAGAAGGATCCAGTTATAGAAGCCAGTGTGATACATAATGGTGAGTCATGGTTTTACAGTTAACTCTTTCTTCTTCTTTTTTGTTTTATTCACCAGCTGTGAGCTCCAGCAGAAAGTTCTCGTTGTTTGTCCATTTGGACTTTGGCTTTTATCCAGGGCCGGAGTTTTTGTATGTTCATCCATTTTACGAGATGAATGGTCGTAGACCACGAGGCAGACCAAGAAGACGATTTAGAGATAATGTCCAGACAGACCTGCAAACACTTGGTGCCACCAAAGAAAAGGCCAACCAGAGAGATGAATGGAGGCGGGTGATATCTGGAGCAGTGAACCTCAAGGGCTTAAAATGCTGAAGAAAATCAATTTTACTGGCTTATTTGTCTGCAGTTCGTTGTTTCTTCTTGCTCAGGCAGATGCACTCCAACTTCGAAGGAAACTCCCAATTAGTCGACTTCTACAACCTGTTTGTTGGAAGGGGGGGGGGGGCAGTGGGTCTGTACTATTTTTTTTCCCCACAGTGGGACCCTGAAACCCACACGAAGAAACTTTCACTACCAGGAGGTTTCACAGGAGATTACCAAAGGCACCAGTAATTATTATGAAAAATAATGTGCTTTAAGAAAACTAAACAGTAATAATTATGAAAAATTTTGTGCCTTAAGGAAACTAAAGGCTGGAGGAGCCAGATTTCTGTAGTCTGCTATGGCCAAATATAAAAGAAAATATACGAAAACACGTTATGTGTTGGGCGGGTTTAATAGAAGAATTCATCTAGATCACAGACTGCTTGGTACTGAAAGAGTTAATGAACTTTGGTTAAATTTTTATTTTTGGTAATGTTAGACTTTGTGTGTGTGTGACATCCATTAATTTTCTTTATCTTTTCCTTCTTTTCTATCTTCTGTCCTCTTCACTCTTCCATCCCATCCATCCTTCTTTTTCCCTCCATTTCATTCTTTCTTTCTTTCTTTCTTTCTTTTTCTTTCTTTCTTTCTTTCTTTCTTTCTTTCTTTCTTTCTTTCTTTCTTTCTTTCTTTCTTTTCTTTCTTTCTTTCTTTTTCTTTCTTTCTTTCTTTCTTTCTTTCTTTTTTTCCCTCCTTTCTTTCGTTCTATAGTATTCTGATAATCTTTCTATATTTGTTACAATATGATGCAATTTTTCTCTTCTTATCATATTGCCAAAAATACTGAATTCCTCTTTTTTATGTTTGTGATAAGTTATCTTTGTTTCTTAGCCTTTGTCAAAACATTTAGATTACCCATGTTGCTGTTCAAGGCTTTTCTGACATTTTATGGAGCCACTTCTCTGTTGCTTCACTGGACATTTTTTTTCCATTTATTAACTGTTCAGGATTGGCAGCTATGTTTTAAAATTAGTCCTACATAATGTGCAAGAATTAGATTCTAATTGCCAAGTACAAGGACATATTACATGAATGGATCCTTATTTTATAAATGATACAACATTCTCTCCCAGCTCTTCAACAACAGCCAGCAACCCAGCCAATCTACAAACCAGATAACAAAATTGAAAAGCCACTCAGCCAACTGACAAACAAAATAACTTGATAAAAAAACCCAACCAGCAAACCAGCCGGCCAGTCAACCAACCAACCAACAAACTAAATAACACAACCAGAAAGTCACTCATTTTATCAACAATCCAACCAACAAACCAAATAACACAACCAGAAAGTCACTCATTTTATCAACAATCCAACCAACAAACCAAATAACACAACCAGAAAGTCACTCATTTTATCAACCAACCAACCAACAAACCAAATAACACAACCAGAAAGTCATTCATTTTATCAACAATCCCAACCAACAAACCAAATAACACAACCAGAAAGTCCTCATTTTTATCAACAATCCAACCAACAAACCAAATACACAACCAGAAAGTCACTCATTTTATCAACAATCCAACCAACAAACCAAATAACACAACCATGAAAGTCACTCATTTTTATCAACCAAAACCAACAAACCAAATAACACAACCAGAAAGTCACTCATTTTTATCAACCAACCAACCAACAAACTAAATAACACAACCAAAAGTCACTCATTTTATCAACCAACCAACCAACAAACCCAAATAACACAACCAGAAAAAGTCACTCATTTTATCAACATCCAACCAACCAACAAACCAAATAACACAACCAGAAAGTCACTCATTTTATCAACCAACCAACCAACAAACCAAATAACACAACCAGAAAGTCACTCATTTTATCAACCAACCAACCAACAAACCAAATAACACAACCAGAAAGTCACTCATTTTATCAACAATCCAACCAACAAACCAAATAACACAACCAGAAAGTCACTCATTTTATCAACAATCCAACCAACAAACCAAATAACACAACCAGAAAGTCACTCATTTTATCAACAATCCAACCAACAAACTAAATAACACAACCAGAAAGTCACTCATTTTATCAACCAACCAACCAACAAACCAAATAACACAACCAGAAAGTCACTCATTTTATCAACAATCCAACCAACCAACAAACCAAATAACACAACCAGAAAGTCACTCATTTTATCAACAATCCAACCAACAAACTAAATAACACAACCAGAAAGTCACTCATTTTATCAACAATCCAACCAACAAACTAAATAACACAACCAGAAAGTCACTCATTTTATCAACAATCCAACCAACAAACTAAATAACACAA